TACTAGTAGCGATGCACTTGTTTCTAGTAGCTTCTTGTTACTACTAGCAAGGCCCTTGTTACTAATAGCGATGCACTTGTTCCTAGTAGCTTATTGTTTCTATATTCCATTCATTGGGATAGATTTTGTCCACTCACGTCTCATCGGGTGCCGAAGTCTGCCTCACCCAGTTTGGTCGTGTTCTATCGTGTTCGTAGCCTTAAACGCGGAAGCGGTCATCCAAGTGACCCCAACATCAGGAGAAGCTTTGCGATGGTTCAACGTTCAATGTTTTTTATATTTAAATCTAGCATACACATGCATACACTATATATTTGTATATTATAGTACATAATGCATTTTTTTGTTTGGGGGGGCGACCCCTATCCTTGCGAGTCACTCTCAGTTCCAAAAACAAGTCTCAGAAAACAACATGCGCCGCGCATCTCAGCAAAATGCATTAGGCTTCTCAAGTGGCAGCGGGTCCTGGACCACAAACTGCGATCGGTTGATGTCTAGCTCGGTGATTTGCAAGACAGTGCCCTCCAAAAAACATGGATCTATATAGTAGTTGTCCATCGTCCAAGTGGCATCAACAGGGATGGCGTCAAAGTTGTAATGCGCCCTAGAATCATTGTCCATTTCCCAAAGAGAATGTGCCCAAGATCTGTTGCATAGACACCCCGCTGCTCATCTGGCTACCGTCGAATAGCCACTGGGGTGGTTAGCCAATGGCTCAACACAAGCCAATAGGCCTGACCATTTCGGAGCTTGGCTTCTAAGGTATAAGCTGAAGAAAGGAGACCCGTCAAGAATGAAAAAGAACGCGTACTTGTATAACTGCAAGTGAACACAAGGGATAGAGGGAAGTGTACAAACAGAGAGAGAGAGAGAGAGATAGAGACCGACAGAGAATTGAAAGAGAAGCGTCAAACAAAAGAACATGAGAAAAGGAGATACCCACAAATGATAAGAAATTTGTGAAAAGCGAAGCAATGATGCCAAATGCTTTCAACCTTACCAGAGAAACAGATAGGGCAAAAGTCAGATATATTGATAAAGATGGAAGCAAGAGAAACGCTGAGGAAAACATATTCGAAAGCAATGAAAGCAAAGAGTCAAAAGAGCACTGCGAACAAACAGAAAGAGTGCGCGAGAGAGAGAGAGAGAGAGACGGGGGCCGCCTTGCTGCAAGCCAATACCACGGCAGATACCATTCGAGACACTTCGAATCGCATGCGCTGCAACAAAAAGCAAAGTGTGCTGGTGCTATTCTCAAAATGAAGAGCGCTCTTGCAATCATTGGGCATGTCTTTTTCTTGTTTTCTACCGCATTTTGTTGTCATGCTTTTTGCTGGGTATGTCTCTCTCTCTCTCTCTCTCTCTTTCTCTCTTTCTTTCTTTTTCTCTCTTTCACTCTCTACAACAGTGTCAGAGTCAACCCCTATGATGTGGAAGACCATTTTCAACGAGCCCTCCTAGCGGTACAACCCTCGCTCTTCAAGGAACGGGCAACGCTGTGACCCGAATTGTTGGGTCATTGTGCCCCAAACAGCAGGGGAGGTACTACCGCTCTCGTCCGCACGCAAACCCTCAGCTGCTTGTAACTCCCCCCCCCTCCGGTGCTCAAACCGCAAACCGCTTTCCAGATCTTTACCACAGCAGAGATCATCCTGGTGCACCTACAGGATCTGACCTTTAGGCGCCACCCGCTCGGGCACACATTCCGGCCAGGAGGGCGCACCTGCGGTGGCCTTTTTGGGTTTGGGTTCCTAAGAATGACGAGGGTAGTTGAGGGGGTTTGTTGTTCATCCACTTTTCTTTGTGAGTCATGTGTTGCATCCTGAACAGAGGCTTGACAGAAGATCCGATGTTGTTGCCGTTGATCTTCCCGACTTACAATAGAAACCTGACCGGTATGCAACGTGATTCCTGGAAATGGTTTCCGCTGTTCCAAGGTGGTGGTCCGAAGGCATGAGTGTTTTAATAGCATATTCCTAGAGAACCAAGAACCCCTAAAGATGTCATACCCTGAAACGACAAATTCATACAAATTCGATCAATTTTGTAGGTTTTGGGTTCCATAGGTCTATTCCAAATCGTTTCTTCATGTCATTGACGAGTGTTTTATTGCCCCATCGATCTTGGTGAGCTTCACCAGATACGTGCGGCGTTCGAACACGAACAGAGACCGAGAAAAATCTTTTGTTTCATTTCTCTCGAATCTGGTCCCCACACTGTGCCGCGTTGGCCGCGGCCAGTCGACGCCATGACCCAGCGACGGGCTTTGGAGAACTGGTGGTGCAAAGGAACTGGCCACGAGTCGGCCACGGTGTGGTAAGCGGCCTACTTCTCTCAGTCCTTGTCTCTCAGCAAGTTTGAAAGCTGCAAGTTTGACCCGGTCTAGAAAAAAGATGATAGTACACCCCCTGGAGCTAACGCGGAAGTGGACATGGCATGTTGGAAAAGAATTTTCCTCTACAAGCAGGGGTTTTCCACTTGCGTGTTAGTTCCATGGGCAAAT